TTCTGATTATTATTATCATCCGTCTAAACACAACCGTTTCACTTAATGTCTTGTATTCAATTGCCTAAACTGATATTAAAAATCACTTAACAAACAGAAGTGCTAAAACATATAGTTAAATAATGCCTAGTATCAATTTAGACAACCAGAACTTAAGAGTTTAACAACAATGCAGTAATTCAGAAAAAAGATAAGCTATTAGCGTGGCTGAAAGTTGTATCTGGCTCGGAAATGACTTCGGTAAGTGGGCAGGTATACATCGGGACGGAGCTCCCCGGAGCATGCAGTGTGCTGCCAGGCGCGGGATCGATAAGTAGAGTGCTGGACCAGCCAGCCACCAACAATATCACCGTAATTGATGATCAGATATACGGCTCGACCTCCTAGAAACAAGGCAGCCCTCTCACTTAATGATTCTGTGATCTGATACACATTAACTCGCTCCATGCTAGTTTGTGTTCTTTGAAACATCACGCAGAGAAGGACGAGTCTGTTTCATCTCCGAAACGAACAGATGGATTTTAATTAAATTTGGTATTGGGGGTCTACATTAAAATTATGAACCTGCACAGATCGAGCACCTCGATCACCGAATCTAAAAGAATCGGTCCCGTCCCTTTGGTTTTATTTACGCTTGCTACCGTCATCGCCCATGACGTGGCGTCAAGAATAGGTGGAATGTTTGTGCACCTCCAGACCGTACGTCTTTCCAATCTTAAGGACAGTATACAATGTCTTTATTTTTATGAAATCGTTTAGGAAACTGGACCTGTTTCTATCTATGGTTTAAAAAAGTTAGGTGGCGAAAGGTTCCTAATCAGCTAGGGTCCGTAGAACTGGCCCTTGGTCCAATGACTGAGACTAGCTCATTCCAAGGGTGGGCCAGAGTATGAACCTTTCCTCTACCCATCACCCTTTATACCTAAGATGGAAACAGATCCAATTTCCCAAACGTTGTCTGGATAAAACCATGACAATGGATAATGTCCATAACAATAAGTCATGTTTATTGTACAACACAACCATCAAAAACATTAATGTGATTCTATACTTTGTCTGCTCAAAATAGGATGACCAGTTCCAGATCCTTTCCTTGACATAATCATCCCAACACTTAACGCTACATAAACTACACAGCTGAAGAAACACAACTACACAAGCAAATAATAAACATATTCAGTGCAGAATAAGAGTCCAATAACAATTTAGCAAATAAGAAAAGATATTCAGTGCAGAATAAGAGTCCAATAGCAATTTAGTATATAAGAAAAATTAAGTGGCAGGTTTTAAACACTCTACAGAGTAAAATATTGTTAACGGAGAATGTGAAGCTACTCACGTACCTGCGCACTGCAACATGAAGGACTAAAGATGGAAGTCGGCAGTGATCTTTGTATTTTGACCACTTTATCCCTGCAGAAAGACTCCTCAGTATCATCTGAATCTGGGAGGATTCCAGAACCAGTTTGGACATGACGGCAAAGAGAAAAGTCTCTAATCCTGCCAGGAATTGAAAAGTGAAGGTTCAGTTCATTGCTAGTCACATTCACTTGCATAATGCGAGGATATCTAGCAGATATTACATAATTTCATAATTAAATGTCATTTCAATGTATTAAAAATAAAAAATAAATGAATGGCATTTGCTTTATTTCTTAATATTATGCAACAATATAAAATTCAACTTGTGAATCACCATGTTCAGTACATACTATTTGTATTCATCCTTTGAAGTACAATATATGTTTTCAAAATGGAACTTGTCTCTTAATTGATATGGCAATACCAGCTGACAGAAATGTAATTAAGAAGGAACTGGAGAAGATCTTGAAATGCAAGGACCTTCTCATTTAAATACAGCGAATGTGGAAAGTGAAAGCAAAAGTAATCCCATTAATTATAGGAGCAACTAGAACTCTCTCCAAGTCACTCTGAAAATATTTGGCCAACATCCCGGGCGAACGCATCAGAGAACTTCAGAAAACTGTCATTTTAGGATCTTCATACATCATTCGAAAGACGTCGTAAAATACATAGTCATCCCTCACAACAAAACTATATAATACATGTAACTGCATAATGATGAGCTTAAAAATCTTTACTCCTCCCCAAATATTGTCAGGGTGATTAAGTCGAGAAGAATGAGATGGGCTGAGCATGTAGCGCGCATGGATGGGACAAGAGGTGTGCACCGGGTACTGGTTGGGAAACCTGAAGGGAAGAGACCGCTGGGGAGACCTAGACGTAGATAGGAGGATAATCTCAGGCGAGATCTATGGGAGATAGGAGTTGAAGGAGACTGGATTTTGTTGGCCCAGGACAGGGTCCGGTGGATGGCTTTGGTTAATTCGGTGATGAACCTCCGGGTTCGGTAAGCCATCTAGTTAGTTAGTTTATAGCTTCAGGCAACTTGTGATCCCAAATAGCCAATGGTAATATTTCAGGTTCTCATGGCACCAAGTATGAAGTCGACTGTCTTCTGGGATGTTATACCATGTAGTCTGGTAGAACGTGACCAACATTTCAGAGATGTTTATTGCCTCCGTTATCAGGGCGATGACCCCACGGTATCCACCGATCACAAAATTTGGTGGACTCCACGGCTGGTCTGGATATGGTGGTGAAGAAGAAAGTCCCTGCCCTTCCTTGCCTGGAACTAAACACTGGCTGTCTAGCTCCTAGTATATGTAGTCATACTGACTGAGCTATCCTGGGTCTGAGATAGATGGCACCACATTATACACAATGCATATATGCCACATTCCTGATAAATCTGCACTGACTTATCTTTACAGAATGTTACATTTCCCAATTTAAAATTTTCCCTAATTACAGATTTAATTTCAGTTATTCTAAACTGATAAGTGTGCTATATTTCCTACAGTAAAATTTCTCCCAGGTTAGCTTTCAGCCCCTCCACTTAATGGTACCTGCACCTTGTCGTGGTGGTGGGGCTTGAGTACCTCAGTGGCGGTAGCATAGCTACTGGTAGGGCCTCCCTAGCCAGATTGGTCGAGGGGGAAAGGTCAGACTAAGACAGGTACCCTGGTCCTCTAGGTTGGGGGTTGGTCGCAAGGCTAACAATCTTGCACCATAAAAAGGAAGATGTCTCAAAACCTCAATCAAAGCCTTGGACAGATGGACCTAACAGAGGACCGAATGGAAGAGGAGAATTGAGGAGGCCCTGGACCGAATACGGACCAGAGAGCCATAGAAGAAGCTTTCAGCCCACTGTTCCCCACAGAAACCTCAAATGGGGATGTAGAATGTTGCCTTCAAGCATTTAAGACATAGGGATATTACTTGAGAGCTGTGCCAAGGCATGGCCTTTTCACTGTGCATGAACACTGCACTGTCTGCCGTGTTTCCTAGTAGGTCTCCTAAGGTGATAGTGAGAGTACAGCAAAATCATATAGTGAAGTTTACTTACCTTCACAGGAGATCCTGACAATCTTTAACGTCGGCTCAGATTCCCACACCTTCCAATAAGTTCTGGGTCATACACCGCAGTTATTCTCTGGACATACAGGACACTTCAAAATGAAAAATTTCTCCGATGTCTCTTCTATCTGTAGATTGGTTTGATAGACTTCTGATTTCAAATATCCCCATGAAGATTAAATATACCATACAGAGAAATAAAGTCCAATATTGGATCATGTAACAAAGAGTAATCAATTGTATTTCCAGTAATTTTGTAGTTCTCATGGCCCCACTTGATACGCCTGCTTCTTGTGCAATGTCCTCAGAAGGTTTACTAGGTGCATGGCCAAGCTAAGTTCTGATATCATCCAACATTTGAACTCCACA